GAGAAAGGAGAGCCACATTGCATTTCCAGCTGTTACACCAAACCAAAATCTTCTCAGACTTCATCAAGCTTTAGCACTTTGATGACTTAAAATTCACCTCTTAAAAAAATTATTAGGAAGGCCAAATCAAGGCAGAGGGAAAATACCCTCTTTACCTCCATTTCCCCTGCCATCACTAGACTACAAGGCCTGCCTTCTGCTATATTAGCTCTCTAACTGCATGAAATTGTCCCAATATAGGCATACATTTTAGTCATTGTCAAAGCAGCTGAAAACACAGTTCCTGGGGCCCCCGTCTCTCCACAAAGAATCAGACATTGCAGGAGGGTAAGCACCAGCCTTAACCCAGCAGCATCTCTTTAGAACCCATGATGCCAGTCACCTGAGTACACTTCCCACAAAATCCTGAATTCTGTATTTTAATTACCACTTTTCCCAGAAACTGAAAGCTGGTGAAATTTAGTGTTTCAGAGATGCCACAGTTTGGATCCTCCTGGTATAAGAGTGATTAGTATCAAGATGAACTTGAAGTGTATTAGGGGTTTTAATATACCAGTGTTGGGATGCTAGGAAAGGAGACAGCAATATGTTCTCCCCAAGCATTTATCATTGTTTAACTAACTTAAGTTTAATCTTAATGTATGCCTCTGCAAGTTGAGTCTGGATATTCTGTGTGCTAGGCCTGAGTACCATGTCTTATTTCTCTCTAATATTTGGAAAGTATCAGGGAATAAAAGTTATGATGAGCCCCAGTGCTTCACTGCTGCAAAACTCATTTACATAAGGCTTACTATAGTTATTCCTCGGGTATTAAAGCTTCATTGAAATAAAACAGATACAGCAACAAAGGTATAACTGACAGCCATATTGACCGATGTGCTTTTTGATTCAACTCTATAAATATTTACTCAGTACAATCCTTTAGAAGATTAACTTAGAAAGTAGTTCAAGTTCAAATCTCTGTTTCATTATGATGCTCAAAGATTATTCCCCTTACACCACACATCCAAGCAGGAAGTACAGGTAAATATTAAACTTGTCCAGAGCGTTGGGAGACAATCAGGAACATACCATACGCACAAGCAACAGTGCAGGAGTGCTGGGCACTCAACTACCATTCTCTCAAGTTGAAGGATTTATTCCCTCATGGAGCTTCTCTTTCATGAGCATCACTCTGTACCACAAACTGATCAGCGCTCCCAAGCCTCACAGCAGAAATACAAAACAGTTCAGCTTTCTTTGTGTAAAGCTAAGAAGGGAATTAGAGACCTCTCCTCTCTCTCACCTGCATCTCTAGGATACCAAAATTGGTGTGTCTCTGGTTTCCAGGCAATTTGGCTAGTTTTATACAGTTTTGGAGGGGAAGTTCCTTAAGGCCGCTAGTAAAGCACACTCACCAAGGGAACCAAAACCAAACTGAGCTCTTCCCATTGCTGCAGGTCTGCATGATTTCTTCTGTCACTTCACCTCCCTTAAGCCTTAAACTTGCTCCCAACTTCTATGCAGCACCAGCACAGAGGGGTAACCAAGGCACAGGGCTGAAGCTCGTTACACGTTTTTCAGTGCTCTGGTGTTAGATGGAACCGACTCCCACCCTTAGTCATAGACAGCAGGAGACACAAAAGCTTATTTCCCTCGGTACAATATGCAGAAAGAAGTGAACACAGACTAATGCAGTGAAGAGAACATCTGACCTCCCATTCTCAGAGCAGACTTGGATTTTATGTATCATATAGTGACATCTCCGGCTAATAAAATGCCTTCCTATGGTAAGATGATTAAGTTACCTCAGGCTGGAGGTCCCAGAGGCCCTCGCTGTCTTCAACCCCTTCCACAGCTGCTCACATGGGAAGGCATAATTTAGCCTTACAACATTTGATGCAGAACTTAATTTACTTGTCAGACTATAGCAAATGAAGAAAGAGACACACTGCTACAGTGGGCAAGAAGCAGGACTTTCAAAACCAATTTTCAAACGGAGAAAAGAATCCTAGAAGGCGATAATGAAGCTGTTAAGCATTTCCTGAACAATTCAGGGAAAACCCCAGCAATTCCCATGCTCAATAAGAAACCCACTAGAAAAGTTCCTTTTAAAATTATTTACATTTCTTTTGCACAACAATGAGTATTACTGTCATCTCCAACAACACTTAAAAACCCTTACTAGAAACACGAGTTATGATCAGCCCAAGTCAAATTAAGAACTATTTCAGAAAGTAAATACTTAAGATCTGGTTCATATTTTAAGTGTGCTAAATTCATCTCAGAGCTATGAAGGTGGCTTCTACACTAGGACAAGAACACACCCGTGAAGTCTCAGGAAACATGGATTTAAATTTGGCAGAGAATCTGGCTAAAGAGTTGGAACATAGTCAAGATTTGGATGCTTAAAATTTAGGAAAAAAAATCTACTCCTATTGTTTCAAAAATCTAGCATACTGTATATCATTCAACCATCCTGCTCTTACCCACTAAAGCAAAACACTGCCATTATTTTGATGGCATAGTGTAAATCTTGCAGTAAACAGACTAATCTGTGTGAAAATTACAACAGCCAACAGCTAATTCAGAAATAGTTAGCACAGGAAAAATGGAGCAAGTTAGTGCAGAATATTTGTTCTCTAAGAACCTAACATCATGCATAAAAGATGATCAGACCCTGAGGGAGTCAGGTATACACACACTGACCACGATATGATTCACGGAAGACGAAAACGTTACTTACCCACTATCTCCTGTAACCAATATAACTAACTGCCTAATTAAAAACGTTCTAATTTTCTTAGCTGTTAACCTCATTCATGTCTGCTTAATTGTAGAAAGAAATAGAAAACCTAACATATACTCACAGACATATATAAATAAAACTGATGAACAATGTGGAAATCACTGTATCAAGTGACCACTTGATACTCAAGTGACCAATCCATTGAGTTCAAGTTCCTTGCATGTTTCTAACTAGGCAACAGCACACAATAAACATGCCTTCCTGATCTGTCTTAAATTCAAGACTACATGCTGAAGCATAAGAACTACACTCCCATCTAAGCAGGCTGAAGTGCAATGTATTAATGTTCATAACAGTAGTCAGCCCTCTTTAAAACCCAGTTTCACTACTTGACATCTTCAGGCAACTAATTTTTCAAAACGCAGTTAGTTACATTTTAAATATTATTAAATCAAATAACCTGATTAATTTTATAATTTCACTGGCATTGTAGGGCAAAATTATGTCCTCTCTTTCCAAAAAATAAGGCAAATTAATTTTAGTTCCAGCTAAGCTACGGTCTTTATAATTTGGAAGCCACAGCTATAGCTTTTGTCTAGTTTATTATTTGCCTATAGAGTTCTTCCTGATTCTATTAAATGAACTTTTGATTTAATTTTAGCCTCATATTCAAGTTTTATTAAATATAAGCTCTAATTGAAATGTTTCCATGAATACAAAGAAGCTTTCAATAAGAACATTTGCACAGAAGGAATGAACTTTGTCCCTGACATCTCATACTCAAGGCTTCACTGTACTGAAACCTTCAGTTTTCCTTTTGCAAACATTAAAAGACTCAAGTAAACTAACTTAAGCTGAGAAAGGAAGCAGAATTTTAAGTTGTTAAACATAGAAAAAATGTCAGTCTTTTTAGCTCAATCCATTTGGATGAGTTTTTTTTTATAAGAGACGATTTGGGGAGTAAGCACCAGTAAGACCCATCCATTTAGTTACTCTTACCTCAATAATATACAAAACCACATTTTTATAGAAGCAATATAGTATGCACTTGGTAACTCGATTGTAACTCCAAGCTCCATGGACCAACAACAGCTTCTCCAAGTAGGAAAACTGAAAGAGAGAAAACAAGTTTTTACATATATGAACTGTTTCAAAAAACTGGTTGAAGTAAAGCCCCGCCCTCAGAAAAAAACTCAGATCAGCTATGAAAGCTGTTCTTCAAGTGCAATATTTAAATAGCTTAGCAGAATATACATGCAAAAACCAACACTTAAAATATTTACATGGAAAGGCTTTTTCGTAGCAAAACCTCTTAATGTTTTTAAGTGGTCTTCACTGGCTTTAAACAGCAAGAAGTCTTCAATTAGTATTACTATCCCGATAGCAAAATTGAGCAAGGTTAACTTAATGCAGCCTTGTAGATTGAATATAAGTGGGAACTCTTCATTTCACGGTCAAAGAAGATTCCTGCGTTGGAGGGCTTACAAGGTTCAGAATCTCCTTTCTCTGTGTTAAACGAATGGTCTGGTAATTAGAACTGTCTTGAGCTGAAATAAAATGCACACGGGGGGAAGCGGAAAAATAGATGCATAGAGTCTTTTATAGATAATGAATACTTACATTAACATTTCCGGCCCACAAAATGTATGCAATCCTGTGTTATACAAAGCACCTAAAGTATTATATAAAGAAAGAAGGAGCATTTGCCAAAAAGGGCAAGTAAATGGATCTTGTAAAAATGGATACCTTTAAATGCTAGTTTGAACCACAGATACAGCTCAAATTCAGCAGTTTTGAAAATGGACTTTTATAGAAGCAGTCTCACAATGCAGCCTAGGAAATGCATAATTTTCTAGTCTTGGCTTTGTCAGTGAACTTTTTTATGCCCTGCAGCATTCCTCTTTTGTCCAGTTACAGACAGCTCAAACTGGTGACTAGATTTACTGTTCGGCACATGTGTACCCGAAGGGTTCTTGGACATTAAGGTGGGACCATTATTTGGTTTGCTGCTTTTTCCATGAATGACTTGACAGGAAAAACTGGACTTCCTAAATTTAGATTCTAGATTATTTGTTTTAACCAAAACTTATTTGAAATTGAAAGCTACCGTAATGAATTAGGACTGCCATGAGATAGCTCTGCTCCCATGATTTCCAGCACTGAAATCACTGAACCACAAATCCTGTAAGAACAGCCTCTCCCATGCATCAGCAACTCAGATTTGTTAGGATATGCCAGCAAGAAAGGAGGAGAGAAAATAAAATTGAACCGAGCTTCATGGTTCAATCTCTGCCCAATTTGAGTCAGGACTGAAAGCAGGACACTCACAAGTGAGTAGTTGACCTACTAGACACTTAATGCCTCAGTTAATATACAGCACAGCTACAACTTTCCTCATCAAAATTCACTAACAAAACGGAGCAGCAGTGATGGGAAGCTTGCCACTACGTTCTGACAAGTCCCCCCAAACACCTCTTGTAGAGAATAGTTAGACACACCCTAAAAGCTTCTCTCTCTGCTGAGTCCAATGAGTGACCGTCCCAGATGTAGCCTTCTCTGGAGCTCAAGGCAAGGAAAAATCCTACCATTAATTGCTCTCTTTACTCTCATGAAAATGAGTGCACTGCATAGCACAGCAAGGAAGATATTAGTAACCTAAATAACACAGTTCTGTGCCTGCTCATGCTGGTGAAGAGTCCCATTCAGATGTGGCAAGGAATTAAATTTCTTTTGATGCTGGTCACAAACTATGCAAATGCACAGCTACTGACATACTTGAGCAACTGTAGGGATAGGGCTCTAAGACACTGCCCTTGTTTGGATCCTACTGTATTTATGGAGTTTTAAATCAGAAGGAAACATGACGCAACAGTTTCTGTAAGTTTCACAGTTGTTTCTGTATCAACCCTAGCATAACTTTTTATACGGAGATTATTTATACAGAGATTATACAGAAAAATACCCCCCATCTTGACTAAAGGATGAGGTGATGCCATGTTGGGGGGAGGGGGTGTTAAGACAGTGAAAATGCATCCAAAATGTATGCCAAATTTTCCAAAGAAGAAAACTGAAATATGAACATTTGTTTAAGAAATAAGTTTCCCTAGTTAGGAAAAGGAAACAGTCCCTAGGCACCAGATGCTTTCTGGATTAAGATGATAAAGCCTTTTACTGAGGAAAAAAGTTATTAAATTCTACTACTGTCTCTCTAAACAGCTAGGTCATTTTAAACAGCTAGGTCATTTGATTTGGGAATTCTCTAAATATGGATCACTGGTTGTCCTGGTTTCAGCTGGGATAGAGTTAATTTTCTTCCTAATAGCAGGCACTAGTAGACACTGGTGCAATATCATTTCAAGGGAAAAGGATGATTCAAACAGATGCTCCTTGCACCTGTGGAAGCTATTTGGAGTAGTCAGACACAAGTTGCCTTTTTATTTTTGTTTGGTTTATGCTTTGATTCCCCCTGGAATCCTGAATGAGCCTATATAGAGACTTTCTCTTCCATAAGTGCCTCCTCCTGGCACCACTGCATTTGCAATACCATTTGAACATGAGATGCTACCTTATAGTGGTCATCTTAAATTACTCAATAAGAACATACTCTGCCTTCAAGGCATGCACATACAGTAATGCTTTAGGGGAAGTTACATGTCTTCACTGAAAGAATATACCCCACAGAGATCAGGTTTTTCTTTTGAAACACACATTACCATACACTATTAGTCTCCTTTACAAGAGGGATTCCTTCATATGTTTTTTAATCAGCACAAAGCTCTTCTAACACAATCACAAAAAAATACACTTCCACAGTGTTTTACTAATTTTTGAAAATTAAAATTCTGTGCTGGTGTGACCAGCTTTCATTTCATATTGAACTAAGAAGATTCGTCACTATTGTCAGTAACTCCCTGACTGGAATTTAAACCAAGAGCAACTTACTTTCGCATTCTAACACTAAATCCGAAGCCAGGGGGGTTTGTTAATGCAGAAGCAACACATGAACATGAAATTACTTCTTCAAACTTAACATGAAATTGCTACTCTATCCTTAATTCGTTTAGTGGTGGACTTGGTAGTGTTAGGTTAATGGTTGGACTGGATGATCTTCAAGGTCTTTTCCAACATAAACGATTCTATGATTATTGCAACTAACACAAAAGGAGTTAAGTGTGTAGGGCCCTCTGTGGACAAAACTCTCACTGCTCATGCTTACTTATTAAAATGGAAGTAATGTGAGGAAGTCTAAGTAAAGAGCATTCAATTAAGTTACACAGCAGAAGGAACATAGAGTCTACTGAAGTTAAAAATGAGAAGGTCATTACAAGATACCGCAGACTTTATGATTATAGCAGTTCCTATAATGCTACGTATTTGGAATATGCTACTGTTTATGACAGCATAAGCCCTTGATAAAACAGCCTAAAATTTTCAAGATAAATTTGGTGAAAGGTCTCAGTTATTCAAGCCTGAAACCCAGGGTACTTCATCAGACCACAGAATAGAGCGGCAATACAAGACTGCCACTTGGCTTCAACAGTTATCTGTGCAAACAGCAGCATTGTCCATGCCTTTTCAAAACATCACCTTCTACTGAAACTATCAAAAGATGATAATATTTGGTATCACTTGGTAGAGCAAATCTGCCTATACCCTGCCAGAAGGGAACAGGGATCGCAGATCCCTGTGGAGACAGTTGATCATCTCTGCTTCCTGTCAGCTCCATCCTCCATCTGTTCTTGCCCTGCGATCAGTCTCAAACACATACACAGAGCACCTCAGCTGTAAATAGTGTAAAAGGGGATGTCCAGCAACTGAAGCATCTCCTTCCTTTCTTATGCTTCTTTTTAAGTCTTTATTCTACATCTTGACTTCTTCAGTAAAACAAAAAAAGGCTTTTTACTCTCCGCTTTAGCTGAAGTAATCAGTGCTGAATTTCACGAGATAGTTTTGGAGCACTCACCCAAATAACATTCAAAGGAACATACCTAAAATGAAAATGCTGGCCAGCTCTCTAGAACCGTGACCAATTCTTGAGTATATCATGGGGTGGGGGGAATAAAAAAAATAAGAGGACACACCTCAAAATAAGAATTTCCAAACAGCCAAACTCTCACACACTTGGTTATAATGCCTACTTTTAGTAGGAGAAAAGAGCTTGCACCAAGAGAGATAAGTTACACTTAAAAGCATGTTAACATAAGCATCACAGAAAGTGCTTCTCCCTGATTACTGAAGAACCAAGACATTTCACAGCTGTCAGGAGGAAACTGGAACTTTGAGGGGAACTGGAGCTTGCCCTAAAGAATACAAAATCGTAATAATGAATCCCCCAAATACATCCAAGATATCTGTTTTAGACAGCTGCCTTGAAAAGGAAACGAGCAGAGATGCTCCTAGCTTGAAGGCTAGGAGAATCCATCAAGCATTACATGGCCACACAGCGCATTTCTGACGACAGGATATGGCAGGTGCTCTTTTTTGCCTCTGACCTGTGCAATAGCATAATCCGAGCAATTGGTTGCCTGCATGCCCTCATTGCCACTGATTCCCACTCCAACGTGAGCTGTCTGGATCATTCCTACGTCATTGGCACCATCCCCAATGGCAAGTGTTATGGCATTGACGTGTTTCTTGACCATGTCTACTATTTCAGACTTCTGCAGAGGAGATACTCTGAAAAGGAGAGAAAAAGCTGTCAGTTTCTCACATGCTGAGCTATGTGCGTTTCCCAAAGGGACAGCTGTAATCTACATTTAGAAGTAATCAAAGGGCAGTTGCTGGGATGTTTCTTTATTCAACAACTAAGCTTCAGAACCTGTGCCAAATTATTTCTGAAGGACAAAGTAGCTTTAAAAATACTTTCACATTTATCTGCTTGCTCACATTTTATGCAAAAGAGACCAAATAGGTATGAAAGGTTTTAAAGCTTTGTTTTCCTCCCCCAGCCCCACCTGCTACACTTTGGCATATACCAGTGATCTTATATTGGGAACACTGGAGAAGGGAGATTCCTCTTCACCTACAACAGTTTACAGAATAACAGTGCAGGCTTCCCTGTCTGCTGTCAACAGTGCATCTCCATCCAAGAGGAGAAAGACCACCAATACATTCAGAGAGTAAATCAAATCGGAGACATTGTCAGTGATTTGGCAAAAGGTACTGCAGCCTTACCTTATTCCCTCCTCCAGCTTGTTTCCCCACTCGCCAGGCCATCTTTCCAACCTCAGACTACACAGCGTCCCTGATCTCACATACACCTTGTGTGCTGGCGCAACTCTGACTTCAGGGATGATGTTAATTCCAATTCAAAACCAAAAGGCTGACTTTGTGACAGCTGAATATTCTTATCAGCTTTATTGATAGTTACTTTAACCTGATCCTTCCCTCATTTTACATCAGTTCCAGTTCGATAAAAATTCATGGAATTCAATAGAGTTAAACCAGGGAGAAGTGGAAAAACACTCAGGGCTAGGCTACTAAATTGGATAAGACACCCAAAATGCCCTTTTTCATGGAAAAGGTGGATCAGGTTACCAAATCATATGAGGTATTCTGGAAATACCTACATGTAGATTAAATATTTCCATTCTGACCCCATCTGTACAAACAACCCTAATGCCTTTCCCCATCAGTTTTAGTTAAAGTTCCAAATTATTTTATACTCCCTTAAATAAACCTCTAGACAAAACTTTTCCACATCTCAAGTCACCCACATAACACTCAACAAGAAGAATGTAATTGATATCTAAAAGCTTCACTATTAAAATACGGGGAGAATGGGGAGCTTGGAGAATGGGGGAGACAGAGGCTTTTTTACATCGCGTTTTTTTCCAGAGTCTACATCCTGTGGGAGCAACTTACGTAGCCTTTAATACACCTGGCTGGATTACTGTTGATCAACAAAAGCAGAGTTATCTTGTTCAGCATTTCGCTTTATGGCCTTGATTTTGTTTAGTGCTGACCACCTCTTAAAATAACTTGATGAGTAATTGGAGGAGACAGAGTTCCTAAGAAAAATTTGTTGGGCTCAGAATTCACATGTGAACTAAGCCACCTGAAAAGTCTAGCAGCTGTCCTGTTCCTAAAAGCTGAAAACAGGAAAAAGTTGACTGGGCCATAAAATTTACTTAATACTATTGGATAGATTTATTAAGCACTCAACTACCTGGCAATGAAAACACCACTTGGCACTGTCGGGGCCCAGTTACACTACCAACACAAAACCCTAACACACTAACCAACCTATGGTGCATGAAAGGTGTCAGTTCATAATGATAAAGCAGCTCTGAATACAGTCTACATAAAATTTAACTTCTCTCCCATGCATACACACACACACATGCACACTCCCCTCTATCCCACCCCCCAACCTTCACATGACAAAATACTAAAGCATGGAGCAAGCAGTCGACAAGGACTTCAAGTCATAGAATAGGAGCTCCAGAGGGACTTGGAGCCAGTTCTGGAGGGATGGGATTGACAAGTGTGCAGACCCCCATTACAAGACCCAGGGGCGCCTCCAGTGCACATGACTGTGTACTTTTGGCAGTCCCCTCATGCAATCATTTCACTGCAGCCGAGCACTGTGTGAATCTGCTAATGCCCTCCTCGGACACATCTCACAGAAATCCAGTTTGTGTTCACTTAGTTTTCAGTTGCATGACAATAGAAATATCCAAGAAGTTTCCTGGTTTTAAATACGTTTAAAGTAACAGGGGAATGAAAAAAGACAGACTGTGAACAGCATCTCTGATTCTCTACTTCAAGCTAGCAGCTTGTCTACAGACACTTCAGACATGACCAGAATGTGGCAGAGATGCTCAAGTTTGTTCTAGTGTAGTTTAGCTGTGACATGGCAGGCAAGCTAATATAGCCTGTATTCACTTCTGTGCTTGTAGCGTAGGTGTGGCTTCAGATTTTAAGTTGACTTTGACATTAATGACCTATTATTTGTCAAATCAATGGAATGCCCTAATATAAACACATTTATCAACTACTACATAATGTACACAGTATGCTTTTACTGTCTTGACCAAATGAAGTTAGTTATACCCACAGTTATATAACACCCAGTTAAAGACTAACATCTTTGTATGCTTAATAATACTAAACAAGCTACAGGAAACACTAGATATATGCTTTAAACACCAAAAATATTTCTGCACTTGGTTTAAGATGATGAAATTAAGGCAAGATTTCAGCACGAAGTGTTATTTGATTATAGTTGTTTAGAATAAACAGAAGCTTCATAGCAAACATCCTCTTTGACACCTCCTCATCAAGTACAGCCCCAAACTCCAGAGAACACATATTTGCTGCACACAGTATATTAACTACAAAAGTTACAAATTGAGATGGCTACTGATTTCCTGAGGCGTTTTACACCCCTCCCCTTCCAACTCACACCCTCAGCCTCGAAACCTCTTCTGCTCCTTGTAATCTATTTGGTACCAATGCACTGCATTAGATTACATTAATCCCCTTAGCCAGATGATCAGAGCTGTGGTCCATTTTGCACATTTGATAGGCTGTCTACATGAATAACAGAAGCTTATAGCACAGGACACTATTAACCTGCAGCTTCCCCCCAGTGATATCTTGAAAGGGGAGGAGGAGTAGCCAAGTTCACAAAGATTCCTGGACACATGAGTAAGTTCAAAGTAAAAAGCACTAGTCAGAACTAACTACTTCGGAGAAAAATTTTGCCGCGACAAGCAGCTATTGGTAATTATCATCTGGTGGAACATCCCTGGCTTTCACTGCAGAGCTCACTGGATGTGAGCAGGACATAAGCCTTGCCTTGATATACACCCAAATAGGAATTAAGATGCGAGCAAAACATCAGTTGCATCAAATTCTTCTGCTTACTTATATTCATACACTGGTCAGACAGCAATGCTTCTTAAAAAGGCTCTTAGAGTGCAACTCAAAAGAGTTAATTGGAAATGTTTGTTTATACAGAAGTTATTTTTGCTGTCTCTGCCCAATAGCATCTTTGACAACAGATGCAATCAACTTAGTCTAGACTGATTCTCTCTTTTACACATACTGGGGGGGGAGGGGGGGGAGAAGTCAGGTTTCAAATACCACCATTTTAAGTACAGGATCAAGTCTTCAGATTCCTGCTCAAACTGTTTCCCCGAGAACCTGAATTTAACCTGCTCAGGCTACAGAGAGGCTGGGGTCAGGACCCCGCCTTTATATAATGTTTAGCATTCAACATTTGGCTGTACAATATAAGGTGTTCATGGATGATGGAAAGGATGCATAAAGTGAAGTGTCAGCCATACAGCACACCTGTTACTTCCCCACCTCTGGGACTTCCTTCCTCTAGACTTGCTCTTGGGCACGTAAAAGCTGATACGGAAAACTGGAAAGTTCAGTCTCAAACCTGCTTAAGTCTTTATCAGCATATTTAACAGATTAATACAGAAAGCAGTTTCCATCCTGAATGAGTGACTGGTGCCTTGATATCATACTGCCTCCTCTGTAACAGGATGGGTGGAAACAAGAGAGGGCACAAAGCTCTATACCTTGGGAAGAAGCTGGGAGAGAAATGCAGCCCAGAGCCAGGGACCCTCAGAAAGACATGGACCTAATTATCCTCAGGTCACTTAAATCCATAAGGAAACTGCTGAAGGAGGCAAGGGTAAGTAGTTTTCAGATAAGGCAGTAATATATTGTTACTATCAGTAAATACTCTAAGGTTCCTCTTCTATTTAGAGAAAGCTCATGAAAAAATAGCACAGGGCACAACACAGAACATTAACACAGCTGGTTTTTCCACAGAGGATGCTGTTAAGTGGCTTCCCACCGACTTCTTCAGATCAGCTCGCAATGGCTTTAAACCTTCAGTCTGCATTTACTTCTTTAGCCTGGGTACATACGTTTATGAGCAAACTTCTTACCTGGTATGTTTTGCCTGTTCAGAAAAGTTCTACTCACATGGTATCACATAGGTCTTAGGTAGTCCTGCAAGGGGCAGGGAGCTGTAGTCTATGATCCTTATGGGTCCCTTCCAACTTGAGATATTCTACGATTCTACTCAATATTTTGCTGGAAGATTTGCTCAGACTTACTTTATTTCTTTAAGAGGAGGAGCATTCAAGCACAGATGGAAGATCTTTCAGTTCAGGTTTTTTTCATGAGTAATACTTACAGGACAACCAAAGCAATGCACAAATTTGTTATCAGCTCTGTCATCTTTCAGTGAAAGATTTCACAAAAAACAATCCAGCAAAGTGGTGATATTTTCAAAAATAAATATCAAACATTCTATTTAGAAACCCATTTTGGTGGCAAAATTTTTAAAACCTCAAAAGTAAGTAGAAGCAAAACATTTAAATATCCATTTTACCCAAGCAAAGCAATGCAGTAGAGCTTTAACTTCAATTTTTAATGTACTGCAACTGATTTAAATGAATCAATTCCTTTACTGCACTTTTTGCAAGCTGGCAAGGCAGCTATCCTTCTTACTCCCAGACTTCATCTAATATATCAAGATGGATGCAGTCAAAAATTAGATGGGAAGGATACAATCAGCACAAGCAGTCCTGCATCACATAGGTCAGCTACACTCCACAAGATACCATCAGTGGGAAGTAAGAAACAGTTTCTTAATTCTGTCCCTATACATACCTGTATTTATTGCACAGTTACAGATGGATGAGAGC